CCCCAGAATTCCATTGTTCAGGGTCATTACTGTAGTAGAGATGGCTTGTAGTGGATTGGCTCGAGCATGACCGACGGAATCTATGGGTAGACAGAGTCTGTTAGTATGTCCCAGATTGCATTCATTCCGAGGTTGGCCGGTGCCATAATCAGAGCAAGTTGCATTCACGAGTGTCGGAGCATCACTAGCGGAATAAGGGGTCGAATAGCACCGGCCAATTGAAGCAGATTCAACTTGCCGATTCGAAACGATAGACGAAGTCTTGGAAACACCTGATGATGTCCTGGCGACAGGATTAGAGATGGTGGAGTTGTTACAGTTTTCAAGACTACTAACATTATCAACCTCGACAGGGGAAGTACTGCCTCGGCTGCTGCAAGATAGGCGGGGAGAGGAGAGCAAAGGAAGTGGAGGAGCGAGTTGCTCTTGGCTGAGGGATCTGGTAAAACCAGCGGACACAGTAGTTGCTGAGTCGGACTGAGAAGACTGATGTCTTTGAGAGTGATTTGAGACATCACATGAGCTGGCATGAGGGGACATCTTAAACGGAATAAGAAAAGGAAAAAATTAAAACTATTTTGAAGACCCCTCTCGCTTATTTTATCTTAGAATTTGCTAAATGTCAACTTTAAAATTATCTCGAAAGGGATGTCATGAAAAGAATATGGCACAATAATATTGGGTAAAATAGCAAATATTAATACAATTTTATTGTTAACGTCAATTTCCTAAAAGTGCTCTGGAAGTAAATATATAGCCGTTAGAATGTGGTAAAATCACCAACTAATTTTTTTCAATTCACTTGCATACACGAGGATTGCTGAATAAAGTAAGCGAACAAACGAAACCAAAACAGGATTTATATTAAGTAACATTACATATTATTAATAAAAAAACACGTTTTTAACCTAGGTAATACATATCTGTCAAGCAGTCAACAGTAACCTCTTGTTTAAAGTACTCTTATAAAAAGCCATATTAAAGATTACCTAGTAACGATAGAGTAATTTTGATATTAATAAAACAACGATTAACAAACAGGATAGCTATATAGATTTCAAAAAATAAAGATCATCTTAATATTTCAATTTTATTGAGGCTATCCGATTTACGCACGTTTGCAGATCTTAAAAAGGAATTTGAATATAAAATATCAATAGGTTCCACTGCATTACAGTAATAAATACGCCACGGTATCTCTAAACATACTCATCATATATTCAACTAAGAGAATAACACCACGATCATCAAAATTATTTATCAGGGGCAGAATTATTAATAGAATTGATGAGACAATGAGCGAGGGACTCCAATGATATGTGTCTAAGTTTTAACCTTAAAAGACTTTAGCACTGAGGAGTGGGTTGACTTCGTTATCGCCACTTGGTCTTGTTGTCAAGGTGACTTAGTAGAACTCACATTGTCCGAAGTCGTCTGCCATAGTAATTGTCATGATTCTCAGCATCAGACAGTGAACTTGGTACATTCTCAAACGTTTCGCCGGCATCGTATTCAGCATCATCAGTTAGTGTTGCCATTCTCCACACCAAGCTACGAGGCAAGTGAATTCAATTTTTTTACCAACGTTCTGCCGAAAACGGTTACACTATAACTCATCTTTCTGTCCTGACCTATCTATCTAATCTTTACCCTCTATCCAACTCCCGCCTATTCACAACTTCTGATTTATTTGCATTCTACTCGTCAAAATGTGTGCCTTTTTTGCCAAGTTTAGTGTGGCCTCATCACACCTGCTATTCAGCATGGCCTCCTTTCTTTCGATCAGCTAATCCGACTCGGGCCTCCTGTCCGGATCCCTACCTCTGAGTCTGCACTATTTCTCAAGTCCTTAGAAGCACATAACCAGCTGCCTCAACGAACAGAGCGCCTAGGCTTTTATTCTCATGATTGCACATATTAGTCATTACCTTAACAGTAAACTCTGGACGCCTATCCCAGGGCATCTGCGACATCTCAAGTGGATTTCTATTACGTTTTGGCCATAATGCCGAATTTCTGTGACGTTTGTATTTATCAGTCTACCTAGTGCCCTGACTACAAGACCCCAAGAGTTGTACTGGTTTCTTTGAACAGACATCACTCACTGAGAACGCCTTCGTTTGATTGTCGAAAATCCCCGATCAACCTTTCCTCATCGCGCTTCCTTTTCCTCCAGTTTGCGATAGATCCTTGATCCAGGCGTCTCGTTTTTGCTGGTATTGCTCTATTCTTCTATTTACCGAGTTTGTTTAAGCAGTAGGCAAAGTTGTCACTGTTAAGGCAATGACTGATATGTGCAAGTATGGGAATCAGAGCCTAGGTGTTCTTTTCGTTGAAGCGGCTGGTTATGTGCTTATAAGGCATTGAGAAATAGCCCCTGGAGTATAACGCACATTGGGACAGGAACCGAGTGAAATGGGTCAGCAAGAAAGATAAAAAACTGATCTATGGGACCATGAGAGGGATCCTGACCGGAGGCCCAAATGGATTAGCTGATCAAGAGAGGAAGCCATGGTGAATACCAGGTGTGATGAGGCCACACTAAATTTTAGCAAAAATGGCACGCATTTTGACGAGTGGAATGCAAATAAATCAGAAGTTGTGATAAGGCGGGAGTTGGATAAGAGCGTAAAGAGTAGATGGATAGGTCAGGACAGAAAAAGGAGTGATAGTGTAACCGATTTCGGCAGAACGTTGGTCAAGGAATTCACTTCACTTGTCTCTTTTACGAGTTCGTAGCTTGGTGCGGAGAATAGCAAAACTCACAGATGATGCCGGCAAGACGTTTTGTGAATGTATCAAATTCAATGTCTGATTATGGGAATCACGACAGTTACTATGACAGACGACTTAGGACTAGGTGCGTTCTACATTGTCCCTCTGACAACAAGACCAAGTTGCGACAACGAGATCAACCCACTTCAATAAATCGAAAGGAGACTGCGACCATAACAGAGACCACAACATTTTGGTCTTCATATATTCAATTTAGCACTAGTTTAAAACTCAAAGATGCTTCATCTGCATTTTCACCAAAAATCGCAAATCGCGCAATACCAATCCAGTGGCGATTCAGAGTGAATTTTAAGGTAATTCCGGTATTTCATAACTAATCTATGAAATGCTGGGGAGCTTTGGTCCCCCTGTCGCTCCGACCAAGTTGCAAAAACAAGGCCAACCAAAATTCTATAGCTAAGGAGGCTGCGACTAAGCCCATAGCCACACTATCTGGGTCTTCTGATCTATCCTCAAGATTAAACAAACACTAAAATTCAAAATAATCATTTATATTTAGTTTAACATTCTATAGACATTCATTTAGCCACAAACGATATAATGATAATAGTAAGCTTAGCCGTTGAATTTTAAAGTATTTAGTTTTCTATCACGAGTGTGTAATCAAATAGTCTTGTCACTTCGTAAGCCAAGTTCCCTGAGATCCCCAGGCAATATGGCTAAGTAGGAATTTGACGTATACATTCCAGTATCAATTTCTACCGAGGTAGATTATGAAAGCTACGATAGATCG